GTTGTAGTTTTACACCGTGTAGTTTAACACTAAAAGGTGCCTGATGGGATATTTATATGTCGTTTGGGATAACCGATGCAAAGTTGCTGAATGAACCATAACTAACTACAGCGCTCACTCATTCACGTTACCATGACAATCAATAGTCTCATTATTCTGATTTATTACTGATTTGATTTTACCTGGTGAGAAAAATTTTAAATGTTGTAGTCACAAAAAAAGACATTTTCAAAATCATATCATTATCATCCATATTTTTCTAAAAACTACTATATAATTTGAAATATTAAATTATCACTTGTTTTGTGTTGATAATATAATAACTTAATTTATCATTATTCATAAATATAAAAATAACATTATTTCATCAATAATTTTAATATTATACTACTGTAGTTTTATTTTATGTCACCCAATACTTAATTATTGTATATAAATCATACTCCCGTAATATGGCATCAGAAATGTTTAACTTTACTGCAATGAACAGTTTTATATCATTGTATTATAACTTTCCTGCAACATGTCACCCTAATTCCTGACCCCAATATTAAACATCAACCCATCCACATCAGCCTACACCCTTGAGTTCAGCAAGGACTATTAACCGAGTGGAGTTAAAGAACTTGGTGGTTTAAAGATGCTTGCCTTCCAATCTCAGGATCCTGGGTTCAATTCCTCTCAGTTTTGCAGGATTTTTTCTTGACGACCAAAAACAACTCCATTCCCTAAACTTCATATTGAGATTTAGTTTATGTAAAGCATCATGTGTGTATGTTTGTCTTGTGAAAGGGAATGTCGCCTACAAGTAGGACAGTGATATTCACTAATGACAGTCCTTGGTGCATAAGTTAATGTGAGCCTAAATTAACCAAAAAAAAACAACAAAAAAACAAAAACAAAACAAAAAAAACTGGTTAACACAGCAACGATGTATACAGTACAGTAGTATACCAACCTACTCCTGATGGCTCCAGTACTACTGTAGATACCAACCCATTCGATCCTCTACTACAGGTATACCATTACCAATATATTCCTGATAATGTACAGTAAGTCTGCCTACGCCCCTAAATCAAGCAGCACATTGTGGCTATCACATAGGTCTATTATTATATGAATTATTATTATTATCTATTTATTTATTACATATTCGGCACAACATATTATTATTATTATATTATGTTGTTTGTTCATAAGGTATATACATCTCCCATCCGTGACAAAAAAATTGTTCCCCCTAGTAATTACTATTACTATAATGCACTGTACAGCACATCCCTCGTAATTCTGCCTCTATCCTTGAGTTACTTTGCTTGGTAAGCGTGGCACCAATAAATTACTGTTAACACCCCCATCACAGAAAATCGTCCACCCCAAATTCACAGCTTATTGACATTCAACAATTGGTAAGTATATTGGAGATAGAGTAAAGTAGATGTTCAACCAAAAAAGATATCATCCATCATAGTGAGATACTTGCTGTTCGTTGCATGCGAAATAAATACAAATAAATTCTGTTTGTGATCACTTTTTAAGATAGAAAGTAAATAAATGAATACGTATGAAATTAGCCTTCGTATTCGGGTATATTTATTGTGTAAAATTCACATAGAGAAACAGTCCATTGCAGCATATATGCTAAAATGTGTGACTGGAAAAAATTACAAAATTTAAGTATAAAAGTTAAAAACTGGCAATTACAAATTTACAAATCATTATTAAAAATATAGTGCAATATTAAAAATTACATTAGAAACATTAGGTAATCGATGCTATCGCGTCCAAAGAAGGTTGCATCATTAAATGCATGAGGTGTGGCAACACACTGGTGCATGGAGCTGTAATATCCCGCCCACCTGTTCACTTTAATTAAATGTCAAGTTCATTTCCTATTCAGTTTGTGTAATTTTGGATGCAAGGACAATTATTAGTACATTATAGACAAAGGGATAGTTTTAGCAAATATTATACCATCGGTACCGTATACTGTATTCTTGCTTAAGACGAGGCTTTAAACAGCAAATTACGATCGAAAAACAGGGGTCAGTTAAACGCACTTCACAATACAACTTTTCGATTTAAATCAAGTTTCGTCTTTTGTGTGGATCATCCATAACACAAAAATTTACTACTGAAACGAAGCCGTACGAACTGTAAGAACTGTATGAATGAAAGCAATTTTGAATGCTGGGAAGTAGCATTTTTATGATTTAAAAGCCAATAAAATGATATAATTATAGGTAGGCCTATTTGGAAGATTAGCCCTACAATTTGCTCAGTCCTTAGCCAGCTAGATGCAGTATCAAGACAATCATGAGCAGCAAAGAGTAGGACTTCTGACAGTGACATACAAGAATCGTCCAAAAATCTTCTCAAACTCAGGGTGGTCTTATACGTAGATTACCTTATACGCGAGAATATACGTTTACTTTCATATACAGCATGTGCAGTAAATGCCTTAAATTTTGTTGACTAACAATCTATCTCAGCTGTTTACAAGACTTCAAATTTGTATTTAGTAATAAGAAAAACAAGTTAATATTTGAGTAATTTATAAGATATGATTTACAAATTATTTTTCACATCTTTCAAAGACAAGACTGGAACTGAAGCAAAGCATTAGGTAAGTAATCTGCGAATCAACTTCTTTCTGTTACTCATAATTATAATTGCGCCAAAATATATTAAAAATGCTGTAATGTATACTTCATGCTAATTTTACTTCTGAATAAATTAAATTATTTAATAAGAAAACCAAGGTTATTTGTGTAAAATGTACGTTGATTTTGAATTTAAAAAAAAGTGTTCAAGATAAAAACAAACACATACAGTATTTTGTTTTTAGAATTCACAAAATACAAGGCTAACTCTTATAAGCTAGAAAAGGAGAAAAAAAAAACACAGGACAAGAAACACATGAAGACAGAATAATTTAGATTACATAAAGAATCATTTCAGAGTGGACAAGGTGTTGCTTCACACTTCGCTTGAAACAAGCGAGATTAAATTCATCAAGGTAACCATCCTCAGGGAGGGAATCCCATGAAGCCGTGTCTCTAGGAAAAACCTCCTTTCAAATTGTTGGTTCTACACTTTAATTTCATTGAAGTAAGATGGTGAGAAGATTTTCAGAGCCTATGTGGCACGACCAAATGCTTTTGATGGTGTATTTTTAACATTGTATGCATACTGTAACAGCCAGGATACAAGCAGGCTTGGTATATTTTAATAGGAGACTTGAAATGGGGGTGCTAATGAGGAAGGGTGCGAAGGTGGAGTGGGGGCTCAATGATTAAGTTAAGGGGGTGGTACATGTAGGTTGCAAGAAAAATTGAACAGGGACGGATTGCTATAAGCGGTCTTCAGACGGTCTTAATGGTTAGCCGGCTATAATCGTGATGTCACTACTGGTCTATGATTATAGACCATTGCTATACCACGGTCTAACCAGTTAGCCGTCTTAAATTTTAAAGCCTACTCGGAAGAGGCTTAAAACGGTCGTAAATCATTTTCATCATGGCGTTCTGCTGATTAATTCAACAGTGCAATGGCAAGACCTAGGCCTAGATCGTCAAAGTCAGAGAATCGAACAATGAATACTCCGCACACTTCTCAGCGGCTGTAAAAATAGGTCTACAGCGTTTATTTACATTCATTTCGATACATTTGCGTGCGCGAGCACGCATGATGTCGCCCTCAATCTTTCGTTACCAGGGAGTGTTTGTTTGCGCTTCAATACTCAAAGCGGATAAAGCCGGCTTTATTCGAGAAGTTAAGACTACCAGTTAAGACCGTTTTATAGCAATCCGCCCCAGTATTTGCCATGATTTGTTTGGGCTTTGGACATTTCCATATCAAACATTTCCAATGATTCGAACACATTCTGTTAATTAAGACATGCATGGGGGAGATCTAGAATTTTTCAAATGGGGAAGAGGACACTAAAGTTAGAATATGGGGATGGACAAGGCCCTTAGTAATGCTACCACTGCTTCCATTGGATACTCCCCTGATATACTCAGCACAATGAAATCACAACAAACAATAATATTTTTAAAACCAACAAGGTTGACTTCAGCCGACCATAACATGAATACCAAACGAATTAATATCTTTAACTCTGAGTCTCAAAGAAGTCAAATCAAATCCTTTGATTTTAAATACTGCATGTGGTCTGTAAGACATTTCATTTATAGTATTGTCTATTATTATAATGGTATCGATGTTAATCACAATTTTTAACAGTTACACTAAGACTGAAGATGGCATACCAGTAAGTTGAGATTTGACATCTTGCTTTTTAGATTGCAGCCAGCATGAGTACCCACGGCTACCGACATCAAACGAATTTAACCAGTCACTGTGGTAACATTGATTATTGGCCTAATCATTGTATTTGTATTCTTAAATTTACAAATACAATCGACAAAGTGATAAATAGAATCCAGCAGATTCGTAATTTCGATCAGATCTTAGTTAATTATATGATGTATTTTCTTGACGGCTTTGATACCCAGCTTACACACAGACACAGTCGAGTGCTGCATTACAAAAATAATGTCAAGGGTAGCGTTTTAAGACGAAATAAAACAATGACTTTCTAAACAATAAGCACGATATTTACTTACCGTAAAAATGATTACATAAATTCAGAATCAAATACTGTATATTCGGCAATGTCTGTTTATCATTTTTCACAACATTCCAAGCAGAGACAGGCCAACTTTTCAAAGCTCATTCATCTGGCGCGATGTCAAAGGCCGGTGAAATTTCATACGTGACATTACCATGCAACGGCTGCAAAACCCCTATAGCAAGTTTGAGCGCCACTACAATAACAGATGGCGCTATTACAATTTTGAAGCGTGCCACTGTTAAAAAAAGTGTAGTTTTGAATGAATTACTATTTGCTAAAGTTGCTCTCAATCCGACTGAATCAATTTACAGTAGTCATAACAACACAGACAAAATCTAGAAACCTTTATTTGGAACACCTGTTCAAAAGTATATACACATCTCCGAAGTGCTTCATAAATCAATCAATGATTGTAATCATATAACGCAATTTTTTGTTCAATTTACATGGTAATTCTAAAATGTACCCTTACCATTCTTATTTTTACAGAAGCGATATATCGCTATTGGCTGAAAATACAAATGCATGTAGACTAATGAATATTATAAATTTGCATAGCTGCATTATATATATAAACATCACGTTATATTTTCAATGTATATATATATATATATATTATATATATATTATATATATATATTATATATTATATATATTAATTATTTAAATACATAGCACACACCTAGCACTCTATGACCTTTAACTAAATCTTTTAAGTAAAATTCATTTGTGGACAATAAAGTTAGTATCTATTTTTGACATCTTACATGCTAAATTTAAAAAGCGTGGTGAATATATTTTCATAATCTATACAGATACTATTTACTTCATGTCATTGTACGCGAATATTCCAATCAAATTCACCATTGATAAAAATTTATCATTAAAAAATATATGATTGGAATTTATCAATGTAAAATAAAAACAAATTATATGACGGTTTATTTTAATAAAAAGCGCAGCTTCAGTGTTGAGAGTCCCCATTGTTACTGTCGTGTTTATAAGGATATCCTGGCGTAGGCCTATGTTATAAACGAAATCGTAGATCTCATCCTGTTCCGCAATTCAAAATCAACTTTTTGAAATATTCTCAAGATTTTAAGGTTTTTGTTTGTGCAAAATGCAATTTATTTCATGAATGGTAATACTATAAAATTAAATTTGAAAAATAAAACAGTAATAAAGGTCAAAACAAAAAGATAAAACATTTCTTGTCATGTTCGACCTTTTCAAAAAATATAGTTCAATATATCGCCTCGCCATATTAAATGACATAACGACCTACAAAAGTTTAAATATTTGGTTAAGTAGCAACGTCAAAACGAATAATACTTCTTGTAAAATTTGTAATTCTTGTATTTATAACAAAATTACTCCAAAATAATTGTAGCCTTATTGTAACTGAATCTCTGTGCTTTGTTTCTTAGTTGCCATTTATAATATTAGCATTGTCATTACAAGAGGAATCCAACGAACGTGCAAGATTGTATATCTAAAAAACTACCTAGGCCTATTACACAAGCCATATCATATCATGTCATATTATTTATTTCCATCATTTCACATTTACAAATACGAACATAAAAATACAAAAATACAAAACGACTCAGCAGAACCTGGTATTGCCCATCTGTCTGGGAGCTCCCCAGTACCAACCGAAGAAACAAAAACATGTAACAAAAATATTAAAATTATTATTTGCAAAGCACTTTAAAAAAAAAACTATGTAACTATGTATACGATCTATCTATCTATCTATATGTATTCTGTTGATAGATACAAGTGCTCAGTAGTAGTGACGTAATGCACAATGATTTGAACGTCACAATTCGGAATAAGCAAAACTTTGTTGTATGTTTGTTTATGTCGATTGATCTTACGGGCATGCGCAGTTCAAACTACGAAGTGGCTTATTGTCTTTCTTAAGAATCCTGCCATCCCATAACAGGCTTACCAGTAAGCCCATTTAGGATTTCAAATTCCCAACGTCATTTTAATTTTGGCTACCAAACTTTGATGTGATTATAACAAAATACAAGCGGTACTTGTCGTGGTATCGTCGCCGTATTTACCGCTTGTCATTTTCTTGAGTGGTTCCCGCTTTCCAAGATCATCCAACGGTACTTGTTCTATATAATCATCTTTGATATCATTGTTGTTGCCCGTCATGCTGGTATCTGTGAGAATCTGAAAAAAAACCCAGAAAGCAAACGTTATTTCACTATTGGGCAATGAATTTTCTATTGTTTCTTTGCTCTATGGTTTAGGTAACCATGGAAGTTCGGCCCTGTAAAGATATACCCATTTTCATGGTCAAATGAGAGTTGTTTTTAGAAACAGACGTTAAGAGGGAAAATATAGAGTATAAATTGATCATCAATCAGATTAGCAGACGCAATAGTTTGCTACACCCAGAGTGAGTCTATCCAGGACACTCCCATAGTCTCAAATGCATCCTTCTAACGGGCTATTGTCTGATTTCTGCCATATTGATGTGATGCCCGACTATTATTTTTTGGCTATATCGTCTGACATCATCGAGACAGAGCTATATAATAGTGATTATCTGAGCAATATCTACGTGATTATGCTGGTCGATGCATGCTGGCGGGGATGATATTATTAAGCATATGGCAAAGGCATGTAATAGTAGGCCCTACGTTTTCCTCATCGCGATATGAACTTACCTCTGTTTTTTCAAAAGGTGCTATGATTCGTGGTTGCTTTCCCTAGGATAAAGGAAATATGAAGTATATTGTACATTTCTTTGATTTTTCGTTTGTTCTGAACTGTCACTTAGAAGGCAAAACTCCGGTAGCTTAATTGATTAGTCGGGTAAATGGGTGCGGCCTTAGGGTTTGAACGGTCTTACCCTCATTATCATCATCATCTTTACCACTACCATTATGTTCATATTCATCACGCTGCATCACCCTCTGTTCCTCCTGCTCTTCATCATCAACATCATTAGATCAGTAGCATTATTATTATTAATTATTATTATTATCATCATAATCATCCACCGCACATTAGCTACCATCGCCATATTCTCATTAAAGGAAAAACAATTAACCAATATCCTACCATTCTTTTCATTAATTGATTACTTAGTAACTCCACGAGTTTTTCGATATCTGGATTTGGTGATTTAGCCAAACGATCTCGGGCTGTCTGTAATGCTGTCGTTTCATACATTTGCTCATCGGAATCATAGTTCTGTTTTATAAATTTTAAAAATATAAAAATCATGAATAAAGTAGTTTGCGTGACAGTGGTTTTGGGCTGCTTTTCTGTCTTTTGGACAACTAAGTACAGTACCTACTATTGTCTTCTTTGTGTCTTTTTTAGCCAGAATAGATAATAATACATCAAGATTGAGGGCGGTATATATTATGACAGTTTTGTGGTATCCCCCTCTCTAGTTGTGTTTCTGGTTATATTTAATCTCAAGTATCATATCACTTGGTGTACTTCAAACTTAAACTAGACCAAGGGCTAGACCTACTATTAAAGAAATTGCCATAAAATAATGGGGAAAACAACACCCAACATTAGCATATCAATTTAAAAAAATTAAAATAGATCAAAAATATGCGCTTACAGGGGTCTCGCCAGCTATACTTAAGAGTGGCGGGACCACCACACTTGGGCGAAAAACGAAATGACCGCGCCACGCTTAGGCAAAATAAGTAAAAATTGCACCACGATTAAAATATTATCGCCACGCTAAAAATATGTACTCTCTTTTTCAATCTCATTTTTGTACGCAGCCTGCGCATGCACGAAGGTACCTGTGAATTTAGGGGGGAAGCCACTGGTCGATGCTAAATATTCGGCTGGATAGGGTGCGGTTCCGTACCGTAAAGTAAGCGTGACGATCGTAGTATGCACTGAAATGTCCGTTTTGTGTAAAAAAATTGTGAATAACCAGCCGTGCGCGAGCATAACAACTAGCACAGGCTAGAACTGCTTTTATATTTAGGCCAGCATGTAACATTGTCTAAATTTCAATGAAGCCAACTCTTGGGTTACAATCTTTATTTGGGGGATATAGTAATGTTGCTGGGGAAAATGCAGGGGGTGGAGACTGTGCGATCACACCCCCTAAATTGTATTTATTTATATGAATTACCGGTAAGATTTTTAAGGTATGAGGGTGCAATTTCCGTGTACCTAGAGGTCCATATTCTCAAAATTTCCCACCTCAACCCCAACCACATGCTGGGGCCGAGGTGATGTGAACTTACATGGACCCACTACCTCCTACTCCTGCATCCGCCTATACAATACGATAAAAAGACACTCAGTAGAACAAATCATAGTTATAGGCCTATATAGCAATCAAGAGTCGGACAAAATATGAAATATTGGATTCTTACTTGAAATATTGTATCCACGTCTGCTCCCTTTTCTATTAAATTTCTAGCAGTGTCAATTTGATTGACGTATATGGCAAAGATTAACACTGATTGTTGCATATTACTTGTGCTATTCTGCAGAGAGAATCATAACTAACCTCGTTTTCAAATCTACAAGGGCAGTAATTTTCATTCCTAAATATCTTTGACAAAGTTCAAAAAAACATTTTCGTGCCTTCCCTGCATGCCAACATTACAGGCAGCTTACGTATCGTACATGAGAACAAACATATGGCATTATCAAGATCTAAAACTACATATTGTTTTTTTTAAGTCTGTTAAAAATTAAAATTCGAATAGGCTCAGTAGCAGATCCAGAAGTGGCAAATGGGACACTCTCCTCTCACCAACCAAGTATGATAGGGCATATCATCATTCAGTTAAGAGTAAAATGGCTAAAACTCAGAAGCTTCTGGAAGGCATAGGCCCTAGCCCCCTCCCCCGCCACCTCCACCCAGACCCCAAAAATAGGTAGTATGGGAAAGTCGTAAACTCTTTCTCTTCTTTCACACACCCCAATTCCCGAAAAAAGTTATGGGTCGCCACTGAGGCTCCACTTGTATTACTTACCCTATGGACAATATTAATATCCATCCCATAATCTAAGAGTAGGTTAATACACTCTACGTCACCTTCACTCACTGCATCAATTAAAACCTGAATAACAGTAATTAGACAAAAACATTCATCCATAGTAAGCAAACACAGTAAATCTGTAATAATGGTTATATAAATACAATAATAATAATTGTCGACTTATATAGAACAGAAACTTGAACAGAACAAATGGAACCAAATTGTGGAAAGCGTAATGTCGAAAGACGGAACACGTTAAGAAAAGAAGATAGCGCATATTGTAGAGACATGCGCGCTTACCCCCAGTCATTGGATCAAGCACATATGAAACACATACTCAGGTCATAGGGGAGAATTACATACGGTAATTTTGCAGCGCATTTTTGTGTTTGAACCTATCAGGTACCCACTTGCACTCCTGGGCGGAGAGGCACAACCGTAGGTAAAGTGCCTTGCCCAAGGACACAAGCAAAATGCACAGCGAGGGATTCAACCTCCTACCTCAAGGTTGAGAAGCAGAACCACAACCGCTGCGCCAAATCGCTTTTACCGCGGTTGGTGCTTTTACCGCGGTTGGTCTCTACATTATAGCTTTGAAATATATCGTAGATTTCGTCAAATTTCCAATATAACTGGAAAGGCATTTATATACAAATATTCCTGAATAGTTACCTGCGATGGAAGCTCATGGACTGGTGGCAGATTAGTCGGCTTAACTCGACGTATTTCTTTAGTCTTCTGGGAAAAAACCGAAATACAGCAGTGGTTAAACTGTCATAAATCAGTATGAATGATGTTACTTCTTGTACTATAATATAATAAATTAACTAATTGACCTTTCATCTACGCGCCGTCCTTTATATACTGATGAGGGCCGATACAATACGATCACAAGTAAACGTACACATGATAATGTGTGGGACATACGCGTATTCCTGACCTTGTTCTGATTGGTCAATTGTGTTTTTTTTTTCGATTTTATACATTAATTATATAATAGATTTATTAAATGACATTAGGAAATTTTACATTTTTAAAGTATTTTCTAATTTTACTTTAAAGCAAAGGAAATGTGAGAAAAACGACAAAAAAAATTCTAAGGTCTGCAGGAAGACTAGGACAAGTTCGGACAAATCGAGTTGATACAGTATTTTGAAGTGTCATTCTAAGATTTTAAGTGTTTGAATGTGAGTAACTAAGGATGACAGATGTTGAAAATTGATTTATTATTATTATAAAAATTAATAAGGATATGTTAAGTTTTATTGCCTCTTCTGTCAGGTCCTTTGCAAATTACAGTATTTACATTTGCTGTACGTTTTTGGTAAACTAACCAAAAATAGAATATGGGCCTTAACGATAAGGTTTCCCACTCAAAAACGGATACAATAGTTGTTTGAAGTAGTAACATGGCCTAAATTAAGAAGAAATATACTATTAAATATAAAATATACTATAAGATATACTCTATTTTCCTTTACCGGTGGCCTAATTTTCTGATCAAGATAACCCTTGCACCGTGGCTCCTTGTTGAAACCGCAAATGTGAAAACGCCCACAAATGTAACAACACACCGCCGACAAAAATGTAATAATGCCCACAACTATAACAACCAGCGCCCACAATGTAACAAACAGGGCCCATAAATGTAATAACGATAATGGCCCACAAATGTGATAACGCCCACAAATGTAACAACAAAACATGACGTCTATATACAGGTCTCCCTCTATTTAAAGACCCCTCTAATTAAAGACCACCTCCAATTGAAGACCACTTTTCTATGGTCCCATATTAACAAATTGGCTATTATCCTTTTTATTCTAATTAGAGACCAAAGCTGCTAAAGAACATGGGAACCTCCATTCCAAAATTGGTCTTTAATTGGAGGGAGACCTGTAATATAAATTAGACCAAAATAAATGCTGAAACTATGAGCAGGGACCTCAATAGTTTCTTACCTCACACTTTTTCAGATATTCTTCGATGAATGTCAGGATTTCGCTTACAATATTATTGCTGCTTTCATCGTAAATCATTTGCGCTGCCTTGTGGGCAGATATACTATAAATACACGCGTGCTTTGCATCGTAATTCTGGGAAAAAATAAATTTGGGAATCTAGTGATTTAATTGACAATGTACCCTAGTGCAAAGTTTTGATAATTATTATATTTATTTAATAATGTATAATAATAATTGTAATTGTAGAGATAATAATATTGATGATGATGATAATGATGAAGCGATACAATACTATTTTACATATTATTGTCACTTACACAACATGGCATAAATTATATTTGGGGGATTGATATTGTAAGTGTAATACAATAGAATCTAATGATGATGATGATGATGATGATGATGATAACGAAAAAGAAGAAGATGCTGATGATGATGATGATGATGATGATGATGATGATGATGAAGAGGATGATGAAGAAGATGATGATAATGAATGACGATGAAGATGTCGAAAAAGATGATGATGATGATGACGTTGACAATGATGGTGATGTATGATGATGAGACACGGATAATGCTGTTTTATTGGTCAAGTTAAACTCAAATATTTCAATTCGATTCGAGTTATTTATTTATCAAGTCACAATCAGTACAAAATGTTTAATAATACCGAAGCAATAGCCCTGATAAAAGAAAAGGTATGCATAAGCAAGCATAATTATATGCTTTTACTTTTGTGTAACCTTAAAGAAAATATATGCAAAAATATACAGACAATGCACACAACAAACACAATCATCTAATCATAATCATAATTGTAATCATATAATTGTGCAATGCACACCATCAACACACAAAGTACATGCACATTTGAATGAATTTATGCAAATGAACACGTATGTACGTAAGTGTAATAAAAATTAAAAGTAATTAATTCAATGAACAATTGCCTGCTGAAATAAACTGAACAGGATAACAATTATGTACACACTGAAAATCGACTGGTATAAAAGTAAAATAAACAATTTAAATAAACTCACCAAATAGACTGTACCGACATCAGCTCCTCTCTCCACCAACTCCTTGGCAACACCAAACTGATGTTGACAAATCGCCAGAATTAAAAAAGAGTGTTGACTGCCATCAACGTCATCCTTTCAGCATAGAACAGATAAATACGCAATATCAATGGTCATTCAGAATCAAAGTACAGTACAGTAGTGCCACAACCCATCCGCAAAACCTCGAACAGAAGCCCCACGGGCTTAATCCCGAGAAGAAGCCCATCTCAAAAAGAAGCCTTCTCCACCCCTTTTTCAGTTTGCAAAATTCAACTCTACGTAATTGTGTGTTTGTTTGATTTTTCCCCTTATTTTTGTTTACATGAACTTTTGGTTTGTAACTCAACGATGTGAAATTAAGTGTTACTTGTGATATTAGAAATTCAAAAACTTAATAATAAATCTATATATTTTAAATCTTGAAATAATTTCATCGTGACCTAAATGATATTTATACGTCTTTAACACAAAATAAACTACATAAACATATATTATACTATCTTTTTTTTCCGAGTTCATTACTTGTTATTTAGATACAGTTGCTCTCATTAGAAAATAAGGCAGTACTATTTGTCATTGTAGTTTAGCTTTACTTTGTACGATACACGATTATCAAAAAAAAATAAAAATAATGTAAAAACAGTGTAAAAAGCATACCGTATAAGTATTTTAATGAATTAATACGTCTGTATAATATATAAATTAAAATAATATATAATATTGAAACAATTTTATATTAAAACCATTGAGGGAAAATAATAAAACAGGTTCTCTTAATTAAAATTATAGAATAGTAATACTGAAATATAAACACAATGTTCTGTAAACATATTTTACTTAATAAATATGTAAATGTTTTTATAATGTGTATGTATATGTAGGGATGTGTGTATGATGTTTATGTATGTATATGCATAGCCTATTACAAGAGTATGTTTATGTAGGAGATAGTATAGGCCCTATATTGAAAATGAGAATAAAGTTGGGCTGCTCCCACGAAAGAGAGAGAGAAAAAAAATTAAATTACATTAGTTCAGACTGACAATCTTTCATTATTATGAGAGCGTGTCAGTTATCAATATTATTTTATTGAGACCCCTACAAACATTGTATTCTCATCACCATGATAGTACAATAAAATAATATTGATAACTGACACGCTATCATAATAATGAAAGATCGTCAGTCTGAACTATCTAAGTACTATCTCGAAAGAAGTTCATATTATCTTGACTATGCTATGCTATGGCAGGTGGATATGCAATTGCGAGTATTTATATAT